ATACAACTCTTATCACAATCCATACATACATCAATTGTGTAAAGCACATTTGTACATTCATTGCCCTCATCAGTCTCAAAACATTTGCTCTCCACCAAAGCCCCTGCACAAATATTCTTAATATGCCTGAACCTTTAAATTGTTGTGGGAGTTACATCAAAGAAGAAGAAGAAGCAGCAGAAGAAAGGCATGCCCATTTTGAGGAACTTACTTTGAACCTGCCATGAGCTGGAGTCTACTTGATGGAAGGTGGGTCTGGTGAGTCTCAAATGAACACTCAAGCGAGATGTCGGACCAAGCAAGGGCCAGAGGCTTAATCCATGAGTGCACCCTTCCAATGGATTTCGGGATCCCACTGTCATTCATAGTCTTCTGAAAACCGGGTGTACACAATTTAAACTCGGATGACATCCTAAACCTTTAGGATTCCAGAGTTTTAAAGGCTGTGACCTTTCTGAAGGAGATCCCCATACCTGTCTTCAGAGGCACCTCTGAGTGAGTTTGACCTCCCAACCTTTTGGCTAGTAGTCAAGTTCTTAAACATCATTGACACCGAGAGACCTTTTTGTCCCCCAATGGCTGATTTCTCTCTTTCTAGCACCAGTGCTCTCTAAAATGTCTAGCGCACTTTTGTGTCATCAAAGGACCATTCAAATGCCTTTGTGGTGCTTTGTGGAGGGCTGGCGGGCACTGTGCTCAGTCCACATCCAATTATTTTTAGGTTTTCTCGATCACATGGCAAGACTTCTTTCTCTCCCTCTCACACCTCAAATAACCATCTGTTAAATGCTTGTGTATCATGCCTGAGTCTAGCGCCCATTTACCCAGATGCCACATGGATTCTCAGCTGAGGTGATTCTGTCATGGGGGTGGCCCATAAAATGCCTGGTTTGCAGAAGTGTGGTTTATTCATTGAATCACAAAACTATTCATCAAACTTATTTCCAAAGATCTTATCCTTGCAATCAAATATCACTTCCTGTTTTAGGAGGAGGGGCCATAATCTTAGTCATAATCAGAGTTTGGGTGCTGGGGACCTGGAGCAGGAGCAGTGCCCAAACTTGGAGCGAGTGCATCGTGGAAGCTACATTCCTCAGGGCACTCAGAGTGGCAAGAAACAGAAAACTGGTTTTAAACTATATTTTTTGGGGTGACATAGCAGAAGAGGGCTCCTTCAGTCTCAGCTAGATCCAAGTACCCAATTTCACTGAGAACTTTCTCTCTTCGACTGGCTTTACTCTCAGTTCAGTTCCGCATGTTCTCTTTTCTGGCTTTACTCTTTGGTAGGCATCCGCCACGGGTGGGGGGCTGGGGGAATAACCCTAGAAACTGAAGTTTGGAGACCCAGCCCCCCGCCAAAAAGGAGACCCCCTTTCTCTGATCGGCTCTAACAAAAGCCTGTGCACATCCTTGAAACACGTGTGGTAGCCAAGACTGCTCTGGTTCACATGCCCATGTCTGGATCTGGAAATCGAGTTAACTGCACCCGAATGCACGGTCAGAGAATGGATAATACAGGTTTCCCCCAAGAAAACCGTGGTTCTGTTATCAGAGGACAGGAAGGAGCCCAGTGGCCTAGAGCGTTACAGGTGGGGCTTTTAGACAAAAGGTCAGCAGTTTGAACCCATCAGTCACTGCATGGAAGAAAGCTGAGGCTGTCTCCTCCATAAAGATTGGCAGACTTGGAACCCACAAGGGCACCTCTATTCTATCCTATTGAGTCAAGGTGAGTCGGAAGGGTCTGGGTGGCAGTGAGGCTTTTTCAGTTTAGTTACCAGAGGACAGGGCAACGTGAGCTACCAGGTCAAGAACCCGTGGGCCAGCTGATATACGGGTGGAGGAGCGGAATGCAACCCCCCGAGGCTTACTTTCTGTTCTCATGTCCATCAGAGTTCCTGTAAGTTATAAGTTCCTGTCAGCTTAAAGCATGAGAATTGATCTCTTATTATCCCCATCTTCAGAAGAGCAGGCTTAACACCCAAATGAAGAGCTTGGTGGCTTTCCTTCTCTGCGACGGCTCGCCCTCCCCATGTCCTTCAAACCCAGCCGGCAATGGCTCTGGGTTTCCAGAGTGCTGGGACACTGCTTTCATAGAATTGCCTTCTGGAGGAAACTCTGGAAAGCTCGCTTTCTCCTGAGCTGCTTTAGGAGATAGCTGCAGAAGATAGACTAAAAGTAAAAAGGAAGCAAACATCAGAGCACGCTCAAAGGCCCTGCAACTCCATGGTGCCTCTGCTTTTTAGCAATGATTCCATGATGTGGGAAATTCGGGGAGTGTCTGGGTGGCAAAGCAAGATGCTGTTTGAGGTTCCATTTGATTCTATCATCCCACGAGACTATTAAGGACGTTACAGACAGAACGGCTGTATTTACACAGTGTGCATTGTGAGATTTAGTCTATTCTTCTTCTTATTAACAACTGTGGGTAGATGCCACGCACGAAGTAGGTGGCAATATCTTAACCATACTCATATTCTAAGTCCCCCGCGTCTATTCCTTCTTGTCAAGGGGAGTGATAACCTTCTCTTCTTTCATGCAACATGTAAGACTGATTGTTTCAAAGGCAACGTCAGCTTAAACATCCAAATATGTTTTGCCTTACAAAGTACCTGGAAAGCAAGAGGTACAGTTTGTTGGGATACTGTGTCATCAAAGGAATGTTTTTAAATCTGTCACTTCGGGTGGTAATTCTGGTGATGTCGTTTCATCTTAAAACATGATTTTCTTTTAAAAAAAAATCGTCTTCTAGGTTAGCGACATTTTAATTTTTGACCTCTAGAGGGAGCACCGGAACCCTCTACTGGTCTCCTCACCAGCATTCTCCTCCAGCATTTTTTACTCCAAGACTCAAGTGAAGATTGAGAAAACTATGTCGAGGGCACCTTCATTGACTTGTTTCCTGGGGGCGTAGGTCAATCTCCTGATCATACAGCTAATAAAAGACTATCTCGAGGCTGCTGCTCTCAGGAAGGCTTCAGCTTGTTGGATTTAATAACCCATTTAACGTAGGTTCAAGGCTGTTATTATGATATACAATGTACAGTATTATAGGAAGGCTGATCAGGTACCAGGCACAAATCTGTGACTGCAGAGCCCTGACAGGAGAATTCCTGTTTCCTGAGTTGTGCACGCTGGTGTACTTTTACCTGCTCCGCCTTGGTCCTTAGAAAGAAACTTAATCACCTCTCGAAGCTTAGCCAGCCTGCCAAATCCTCAGCCTCCCACTAATTGAGGAGAATCTAGGCCTCTATCTAGGAGCCCAAGAGGCCCAGCAGTTACATATGTGTCAGCTAACCCCCAGGTGGTGGTATAAATGAGTCACCCACACCCACACCCACACCCAACTAAGCTAAAGGTTGGTGATCTGCTCACTCAAGGTCAGCTAGTGCCCCTGGGGATTTCTGAGATCATAACTGATTATTTTCATAACTGATTATTTGATTAGGAGCAGTTAGTGGTTTTGAACTACTGACCTTGCAAATCACAGCCCAGTGCATAACCACTACACCACCAGGGCTTCTCATTATGGAGGGAGCCCAGTTCTATTTTGTAACACATGAGGTCTCCACGAGTTAGAATCAGCTCATGCCGCTCTTTTTTGTGTCTAATTTTCTACCAGTTCCGTAGTATATCGTGAATGTGTTTATTCCCATCGATTCCCACCCTCATCAGCTTGTATCTTCCCATTTCTCATTATGGCTGTGATATTTCATTGGATTCCAGATAATTTGGGAGACACACACATTTTCTTGATATTTTCTTTTTCATGCAGAAAACAATCTGATCTCTTAGTTTTGCTTTTAAATTGTTAGAGGCAGTCGTCAGAAGAATGCTGATCAAAAGATCATTTTTCTCCATTAAACAGCTCTGGGGACACCATGGGAAACATCCAAACAGCAGTTGGAATCTACTCGGCTGCAGACTCAAGGGGGCGCTCTGCTGGTCTCAGAGCATCCTCTGCCTCTGTCCTTGCAGCTCCTTCCGCTGATGCTCAGGCTTGCAAACAGTCGCTTCTCTCTCTCCCCGTCCCACCCTTTGGTTCTGATGCGCAGAGCTTGAAAACCATTGTTTCATCTGTATCGCCACGTTTCCAGTGGGAGTGTAAATCTGGTCCTTGTTACTACAGTAGTCCATCACCTGTGCTGTTTTGTTGTTGTTTTCAGCCTTTGATTCTAAGTGATCAATGACCATTGACAAGGACTGACTGGAAATTAAGGGTCAGCCATAGTATAGTGCCAAAGAAAGGGAGAAGCTTCCTGGATATACATGAGATCCGTCCAAATGGACATAGGATTATTTGGTAATGAGGAATGAGCTCTCTCTCTCTTTGATGGTAGACATCCAGTGAATGGCATCCTCCTATTGCCATGGGCTGTCTTTGAGTTGATTCCAACTCCTGGGTACCCATGTGTTACAAAGTAGAACTGCCCCAGAGGGCTTTCTTGCCTGTAATCTCTTACTGTAAGCATATGGCCTTAAACACTGCCTTTTCAGTCACTGGTGGGTTGAACAACCGACTGTAATGTTAGCAGCCATGTACAAACCATTTGCACATCCCTAGACAGGACTGTCTGGAGGTAAGAATCCTAGGGGGGTAGTGTCTTCCAGGTCTGGGGTAACTGGGTATTTGCAGCATTAGGACTTGCCATATGTAGGGGGATTTTTAGTATAATAATTAATGGTAATAGTAATGACGACTTTTGAGTGCTTGCTATATGTAGGAGTTCTGTTCTGGTAAAGATTTTACAGTTGTTTTTGTTTATTGGTTGGTTTGTTTTGAGCATTTTGCTACATTCTTTTTTCTTTTAATGATTTCATTGGGGGCTCATACAACTCTTTTCACAATCCATACATCCATCCATTGTGTCATACACACTTGTACATTTGTTGCCATCATCATTCTCAAAACATTTGCTTTCTACTTGAGCCCTTGCTATCAACTCCTCATTTTTCCCCTCCCTCCCCGCTCCCCCCTCCCTCATGAATACTTTTTTTTTCCACAATAATCTTTATATTCACGCTTCTGACCTCTGCGATCCGTCCAAAAGGAGGAGAAACTATAGGTATCTTTCGCACAATCAACACATTGAGGGCACTTCTCACCAGTGAACGTTGTCACAGAATTCCAAATACAGTTCTTACCACATACCTGACATGGAATGGATGTCTTTTTATTAAGAGTTTTAGAGGGACCACTGCATTTTTCTCCACATCCATCACACCAAAGATGGCATCCAGCGCGAGCTATGGTTTGATGTTTATGTGTAGAGCAATCCAGAAAATCTGCTGATTCCTGGCTTTCAAAATTACTTTCTCCCAGAGGTTTTCTTTGCGTAACAGTGAAGTCTGGAATTTGACCGAAAGTTTTCCCAAACTGGTTGCCTTCATTACTTTCACAAAGGTTCTCGACTGCGTGATTTCTGAAATCTATCCCCTCACTTTTACGTTGATCTTGAACAGCAAGTGATTCCCAGGTTGTTCCCAACACGGAGGACCAGGTGTTATTCTCCACAGACTGGACCGTTACATGTTCACTGGACGACTTGGCTCCTTCATTACGGTTTTGAGAGGCTTCACCCAGTGATTCAGGTTGAGGCATACAACGTGAAACAAAGAGAACCAGATGATCAGGGAAATGAAGGCTGATGTAAATGGAGAAAGGCTTGGGCAAATTTCCAAGTGTCAGCACTTCGGGAAGGGCTAAAAAGCTAGTCGGAAATACTTAAGGATTGAGAGCGATAACACACACAGCTGTGGTTGGAGAACCAATTTAAAAAACACTAGCTATAAAGTAAATAGAACATTGAAAAAAGGAAGGGAATTCCCACCACGGGTGTGAGAGGACTTGCCAAAATCAGGAAAATAAGCAGCTCAGGTCTCTGTGAAGTGGTATCCTCAACCCACAAGAGGCCTTTTCTAGCTAATTCCAAAGTCATTTCCTCCACGCAGTCTTCGAAGAATTCTTGCTTTCCCAGTGTTTCTTGACAGTGTCCCTGGGTGGGTTCTATCTCTACTGTGCTCAGACTTCTCCCTTGTTCCTCTGGGAAAACACACGTGTGGAACTACTGACGCCAGGTTTGCCCATGTCTCCATCATCACATCTCTGTAGTTTCCTCTCAGCAGGATCCAGCAGAGCCCACTCCTCCTGGCTGAAGACGATGGATACATCCTCAACAACCACCGAGTCCATGTCCCGTGTCTTGGGGGTCGGCGGGAATGCGGTCTCTAAGCCCAGGAAGCTGCTTAAGGATGAGGGATGAGAGTACCGGTAGGGCACTGGGCACTCTGCAGGTGGATGCATCCTGTGTGATCCAGCACTCAGAAGAGTTGAAGTCTTTCCTTGGGGTTTACGGACATGCAGTTGGTCATGGCTGCCAGCCCGGAGTGGACTCGTTCTCCTGCATCACAGGTGAGCCCGTGACCCGCAG